TCCTTTAGATATTGGTAGCGTATCTTTCTGTAAAATTTCGTGGGATCGGGCATTATATAACATATATCCGAGGTTTTGTGACCCTAAATTAATAACAGAAACATTAAAAATATATCCAGAAATTAAAATAATATTGTATATTATTAAAAAATACCTTTATAACCTATACCAGAATGATAAACAATAAGCACGAAGTCCTCGTGCCCCACCATACAAACTACAGATGTCCAGGCAAAAATATATGTTTGGACACCAAAAGGAGAGAAAAACCTTATTACATCTTTTGATGTCGCGGCAATTATTCCTTGAGAGTATAAAGCAATGGCTATTTCACACAGAATAAGTGATGAGTAAAGAATTATCGTGTGCAGGTATGTTTTCTGAAGTAGCATCTAGAGTGGCACCTGACCAGAGTTAATGTAATTTTAAGGGCCCAGGGACAACTTTAGATACTTTAGATTCTAAAATGGCTACTTCAAATAGGTAGCTACACAGACGTAATATTTATGGCGACTTAATGTAAATATGTAATATATTCATTACCTGTTATATCTTCCCCTTGTGGAAGTGCAACCGTCCACTCGCTTTTTGATGCCCATGCATCTTGTGGCTTGTAAAACAATATACTTGGATTAGTTTGAGAACCGGATGCTTCACTGGATTCTACAGCAAAAAGAGAGCCATTTTTATCTATGATTTACAAAATTTCGTTAGCAAAAAGAAGTAAATCTATTTTAAGTTGAATGTAAATTTAAAATATTTAAAATGATACCCAGACAAGCCATAGAATAATTAAATTCATCTCGAAGGCTGTAACCATGATTATGAGATTTATCAAGATATTCTACGGCTATTGTCGAACAAGTCTCGTGAAACATAGAAGTTATTAATCCGATATGACTCATAGCTACACAATCAAATAACCGACATTATCATATATGTGTATTCTGAATATATTGCCAATAGAAAAGCATTTTTACAAACCTAAATATCTTCGATTATTCTTCTCGGGAGTTGCTCCAGGTTGAAAAGGT